ATGTCAAGCCTTCGGAGCAGACGATACCCTTGTGAGTTGATGGTAGCATGCACGGGTCGTCGTTATCACCCTTCTCATCCATATCACTAGTACCAGACCTATCGACCGTATCCGCGTTGGCCAGTGCAGATAAGCAGGTCGTAGTCTCGCTACTCCTTGGACATAGATACTCGCTTGGAAGGTCCTTAAGCTTCCCCTGTTCAGCTTGTGTGACCATCATATCGGGCGCCTCCGAGTTCCCCAGGACCGTAGGCATACCGCCCCGGATATCTTGACATTCTGGACCCTCTAGTAGCTCCTTACGTAGAATACCGAACGTCGGCAGCCATACATAAGGATGATCTTCAACCAGTATAGAGTCAGTTCCTAGTTCTAATCCTTCACAACTAGAACCATAGGAAGACTTCCGGATAGTATTCTCTATGGCGTACAGAGTCGAAGATTCTTCGAGAGGAGTACCCAAACCACCAAACGAACCCTTAAGACCAACCACATCATAGTCCATACACCCTTGAGCGGCCTTGGGGTCATCACCTCTCAGAGAACCAATCCCGGTAGAATGTGCACAACGGCGGTGATCACTGACCACAGGTGTAGGTAAATTCCCAGTTAGTGTAGGTAAACGTTGCGCGTAGTGACTGGGATCACTTTTAACTTTCCCTGAAATCCTAGAACGAACCGTACGACAAGCACGTTCCTTAATCTTCACAATGTTCCCAACTGGGTTCCGTTGACCCGAATGATCAACGACTCTATTCGAACTCTTGCCACTACGAGTCAATACCATCGTGACTAGTAAACACAATGCCTAACTCGTATACAATACCGTAAACTAATCCCTGACTAAGATACCGTTCAGACGAAGCTTAGCCACTAGCGAATGATATACCTCAAATCACAGTAAATCACTCTGAGCCTGGGCTCAGTCCAACGTAAGCAAACGAACGTCGTTGCGAACGCCTAACCCTAGGGTCACACACCCTTGGGAACAGCACGCATGCAC